TTGCTCATATGACACTGTGGCTCTCACAGAACACTACACAATTTTTTTTATTTTTTAGAAGAAGCATTTCACTACAGCTTTAACATACTCAATAACAATTTCCAGAGCAAAGATACATCTCTTTTAAAAGTGGCTATAAAATGTTTGGGTTCACAGTTGAATTAATGCAGTTATACAATATTGAACTCAGTATAAGCTCTGTAAGACATAAAATTGAATGAGTTTTTAACCCTCAAAAAAGATCTCTATTTCATTCTAAAATATACTGTTTCTTACAGAAAAACTCATTGTTTTTGCTACTGACACTGAGATGTTGGCACATGAGCCTCTAATCTGTATGTATCTAACTATTACTAGTCATAATCATTTGCACTCAGATCCTTGGTACCTGTGTATGTCTATAAAGTCATCAGGTAAATTTCCACGGTAATGTTCATCACCTCTACTAATTAACATGACATAAACTTTTATGCTTCCTCCTCAAATATAATACATTTTTTAAATTTGTTGATTTTTTTCTGTGTGTGTATATCACACAGAACATCCCAAACCATCTTATTCAACTATACACCCACTTCCCAGATGGCACCATCCCATAGCCTCCCTCCCCCCACTAGAGCCCTTATACTCTGATATCCCTGCTACTGTCTGCTGTGTTGTTGGCACCCCAGCCGTTCCCCACTACTTGTCCATCTGGTGAATCTAGTCAGCCTATCTAGAGGTCTTTGTTTTAGGAGGGTCGGCTGTTCCTCATCTAGCAGCAATCAGTTTATGACTAGTTTTTTAATTCTCAACAAATGTTTATCAAAGGAATGGTCTACACTCTCTTTCTTGCTCACTCTCACACACACACACACACACACAAACACACACTTGCTTTGTCAGTCTTTTAGAGATTTCTTTTATGTGTATGTGTAAGTGCCTGTATGTATGTGCACGATGTGCATGCCTGGTGCCCTTGGAGGCCAGAAAAGGGCATTGTATAACCTGGAGCTAGAGTTACTGGTGCTGGGAACCAAACTCTGGTCTTCTGCAAGAGCAGCAAACGCTCTCTTAATCACTGAGCCATCTCTTCAGGCCGATGCTTTCTTTGTTCTTAACCTCCCTAAAATTTCTGTAGCAAGTGTCCAAACCACCAGATTGTCAAATTCAAAAGACTCTTTAGCAATCCACACTGTATTGAACTTTCAGCTTCTATTAAAAAATTGACCATTGGGGCTGGAAAGATAGCAGCAGTTTGCAAAGGACCTGAGTCCATTTTTTAACCTATACATGGTGGCTACAAAAAAGTTTGAGTAGGTCTGAAACCCTCTCTGGCCTCTATGGGCATTGCATGCATGAGTGCACTTACATACACAAGGCAACACACAAACACATAACAAGAAACAAAAATTTAGAAAAAACTGTGACCACTCTTCTGGTTCTCTTAGCTCCCTGACCCTCCAGCTTGATCTTCCAGGTAAACTACACATTTTTTTTCTACCTATTCCCGAAGCATGGGTCCTTTCCAAGGCTTAGAAAGTGTTTATAAATATGTCTACACACACACTCATCAATAATTGCAATAATAGAGCTACTAGTTTTGCTAAGTTTCTATACCCGCTGAATAGCCTCAGGGTTTCAAGTTCATATATGCATCATTCAGTGGAAAATACGCACTTCGACCTAGATTCAAACTTACTCCTTCCTCTTACAAATGTATCATTGGTCCATGGTCTTCATTTAGAGATACAATAACCTTTCTGTTTCCTTGAGCAACAGCTAAGTTCTCTGAAGGCCATCACTGGTTCCCAGGTGCTCCCCTGACTCTGTCTTGAGGTCTGTGCCTTTTTATTCAAGTGCAACACATCACCCACATGACCGATTAGAGTCAACATCTGATCACCCTTGCAGTTGTACCTGTGCAAGCAGTGTTTAATCTTCTAGAAATTCTCTCCTTCCTACTTTTCCAAAATCTTTTACTTCTAATCCTTTATCAAGTCACAACTTACCTCTTCCCAAAAAAAGTCTTCATTTACTTCCAGAGAATACTACTAATACATCTATCACCCCACTGTAGTAAAACGCTGCTTCTTCACATTCGTGAGTCTGAAGAGATCATCCTGTGTCATAAATTCCCTAACCATGTGCCGTGTTTTGTTCGCATTTGTATTCCTGGGACTTTGTCTAACAGTCAATGTTCAGTAGATATTGATACATTTGAGTTGTCATGATTCTAATAGTCACTTTGTAAAAGCCAGAAATCAAAGAATTAAAATTTGATAGAACAAAATAAGTACTCACTGCTTTTTAAGATGGACAAAATATGGCTTTCCTGCTAGCGTTATAAGGTATGCAACCTGTAACAAGAAGTTTTTCCATCAATCACATGCTAACTTATGTGTTTGCTCCAACTTTAAAAGACTGACAAAATTAATAAAAACGTTCTGTATGTTCTGGGTGCCCTTCCCAGGCGGGTCACTGAATCTTCAGGACTCTGAGCTGAGAACTAGATACTGAAGCTTCAGCACTTGGACATGTTCGCTAACTCTGGTTCATAACCTGGCCTCGTGTTAGCTGCTATCTTCTGGCTCAGTAAGATTCTGGCAGATCCAGGTGACAGCCTGTCTCAACTCACAGGAATCCTGTCTACTTGCTTGCTGCCTCATGAGCACTTGTGAGGTCCTGTCCCAGCTTCTTCATGTCTGGGTGTTCCTCCACGTGAAAGGCTGTGTTGTGGGGCTGTTCTGAGCTGTCAGCTCTACCTGATGCCTCAGTCTAAGCAGTTTTGGTCTCCATGTTGGCAACTTAACACAGACTAAGACATAAAGATGTTACTGTTATTACATGATTTTCAGGGTCTTTTTCTACATCTGGTGAAGAAATCTTTTCAGGAACTGTTGTCTGCAGGAAGGTTTTCTGAGAATCTAAAAATAAAAATGAGTAAACATTCTGATATCTATGATCTCACATTGTCCATTTTAAATCTAACTGTCCTGTCTGTTTCTTTATATTAGTAGCTATTTCAAAGTGATTGACACATCTCTTCCTCTCCCCTTTCTGTCGTCTTCCTACTAAACTAATTCTGAGCTGATTCTCCGTCCCCCTCTCTTCGCTCCAACCCCCTCCTCCCAGTTCCTCAGCTAAACTACCTACGAGGAAAGAACAAGTGTTAGTGTTTAATGGCCAGGAAACAAGAGTCTCATTAAGAAAGCACAGCTGTGAGAAACAGAATGCCGGTTATTAAGAGCTGAGTCAACCAAGTCGCTGGATGGCGACAGGTGCCAAACAAGGAATTTTTCCAAAACAGTGTCTTTGTATTGATGAGTCACGACTACCGCTCACAGAGGCAGAAATGTGTGGGGGAGGGGCTACATTTCACTTCCATGTTACAGGAAAGGAAAGGCCACGGAGAAAGGACGCTCTACTACGATGCTCCTCTGCGTCGGGGCCTAGAGGGCCAAGGAGAAAGGGTCAGGCCGCTTGGGCCCTAGGCAGGAAGGGACAAGCCTCATCACCCTATCCCCTCAGAAGCCTGCATGGGGGAGCAAATTGGGTCCCTGAACTCACCCTGGTCTGCCTGCAGTCCCTTAAGCCCAGAAAGCACCACTAGAAGGAGAAACATGGCTCCCTTGGTGGTCCTGGAGCCAACTGAGCAGCAGCAGGCCAGGCGTTGGGACCAGTAGAGCGCAGAGCACGTGCGCCTGCACCTTCCAGAACGTCAAGGATGCACCTGAGACGAAAGGCCACTGCAGGAGGGAAAGGGAAGGTCGCTCAGAGGTTAATCTTCAGCCGAGGGCAGGCCCAGCGACGATGTTCTTCTATCCTTCAGTCACACCATGAATTTCTACTTCACACCGAGGGAAAGAAATATGAAAATATTCAGGTGAGTGATGGCAGCCTCAGGCCCTCCCTGGCATCCAAACACAGTATCCAAACAACTGAACCAGGCGGGATACACTTTTGCAACAAAATGCTGCAAATGTGACTTTTCACATTGCCCGAAGAATGCGGGACACCGTATAAAATAATCGTTGTTCAGATACAGACTTTCCAAATGTCTATCTTGTTACTGCTGTGCTCTAATCCACAACCTCGGCTTTTCATCTCATTGGTCCATTTAGGAGTCCTGTACTAGAGAGCTGCAGCAGCTCTGATCTCAGCAGACCGACAGAGCGTGCCTGCGGAGTTATGGCTCCCTCTGGCCTCTCTCTGGAATAAGGGCTGAGAATGAAGGGAACTGCCTGAGGGAACCCCCAGATCCTGTCTCCACATGGTGAAGGAAGCCTGAGTGTACCTGACTGGCACCTGAATTGGGCTTCTGTGGGTACCCCTGAATAGATGATCTGGTCATCAGTTACCTCAGAGAACCTGAGCCCTGTACCAACCAGCTTACATAACCAATAAAGAAAGGATCTAGGCACCCCATAATACAAACAGAAGCTACTTCAACTTAATTTTCATATCAGAATCATAAACAGCAAAAGAAATTCACATGCCAAAATCACAACAAACGAATAATAAAATGGAAAGCCAAAACACTGTCCCCACCAAACTCCACCAATTCTGTAGAAGAGTTCTACAAGGAGAACCCCTTATAGATAACCCAGGACACTGAATTTTTAAAAAATCATAAACATGATCAAGGAATTCAACAAATTTAAAGACCAAACAAACAAATCAAAGAACTAAAAGATAGAGATAAACTTCTGAATGAATTCACAAGATAGAAATGCTGAAGAAAACTCAGGCAGAAATGAAGAAGGAAGTGCAAAACTCAATAAGCCAACTTGAAACAACAAGGGAAAGCCTCACAGCTAGAATAAATGAAATGGAAAACAGAATACCAACACTGGAGGATAAAGCTGAAGAATTGGACCACTCAAGCAAAGATTATGGAGAATTTTAAAAAACACAGGAATGGAATATGCAAGAGATGTGGGACACCATGAAAAGACCAAATCTAAGGATCATAGGAATAGAGGAAGGAGAAGAATTTCAGGTTAATGGTGTTGACCAGATCCTAAACAGAATTGTAGAAGAGAATTTCCCAAAATTAAGGAAAGACATCCCCATACAAATACATGAAGCACATAGAACACCAAAAAGACAGGATCAGAAAAGAAATTCCCCACAACATATAGAGAGGGTGGACTGCCTCAGAGAGCCCAGATCCTGCCTCCACGTGGTGAAGGAAGCCTGACTGTACCTGACAGGAACCTGAATTGGGCTTCTGTGCCTACTCCTGCATATGGGATCTGAAGCCTTTAGTTCCCTCCAAATCTTCTATGATACAAAAAGCCTGAAAGAATACATGTGCACAAAACCAGCCCTTCAAAGAATACTTAAAGCAATACAGAGAGCAGAGAGAGAAAGAACTATACCCCAGGGCAATGAAAGAAAATAAAAGTATAATCGAGGAAACACAAAATTAGACAGAGAACACAAACAGCAATCAAATGATGGCAACCAATACACACTTTTCAATAATAACCTTACATATCAATGGACTGAACTCCCCAGTCAAAAGACACGGGCTAAGAGAATGGATTAAGAAACAAAATCCATCTCTTTGCTGTCTGCAAGAAACCCATCTCACCTTCAAGGACAGGCACTACCTTAAGGTAAAAGGATGGAAAAGAATATTCCAAGCAAATGGCACTAAGAAACAAGCAGAGGTTGCAATTCTAATATCTGACAAAATAGACTTCAAAGTAAAACCAATCAGAGGAGATAAGGAGGGTCACTTCATTCGGATGAAAGGAGTAGTTAACCAAGAAGATAGTACAATCCTTAGCATATATGCACCAAATTCTGGTGTACCCAAATTCATAAAAACAACACTACAGGGCTTTAAGACACACATTAACCCCAACTCAGTAATAGTAGAGGACTTCAGTACCCCACTGTCTCCAATAGATAGGTCAACTGGACAAAGAATAAACAGAGAGACATTTAAATTAAATGATATCATACATCACATGGACCTAACAGTCATCTTTTGAATAGTCCACCCAAGCACCAAAGAATACACTTTCTATTCAGCACCCCATGGAACTTTTTCAAACATTGACCACATACAGGGCCACAAAACAAACCTCAATAAACACAAAAAATTGAAATAATCCCATGCATTCTATTGGACCACAATGCAATAAAGCTCAAAATCAACACTGGACGAAGCCCTAGTCACTACATGAACTCATGGTGATTAAGCAACACACTCTTAAATAATGAGTGGGTCCAAGAAGAAATTAAGAAAGAAATAAAACAATGCCTAGAATTCAAAGAAAGGGACAATACAGCACAACACAACCTCTGAGACACTATAAAAGCAGTCCTAACAGGGAGGTTTATAGCTCTAAGTGCCTACATTAAAAAAATTAGAAATGAACTAACAATGCAACTCAAGACACTGGAAAAGCAAAAAAAAAAATGGAACCCAAACTCAGGAGCCCAAACCCAGCAGATGAGAAGAAATAACAAAAATCAGAGAAGAAATCAATGAAATAGAATCAAAGAATCAATGAGACTAAGAGCTGGTTTGTTGAAAAGCTAAACAAGATAGTCATACCCTTAGCCCAGTTAACCAAAAGAAAGAGCAAATCCAAATCAACAAAATAAGACCTGAAAGAGGAAACATCACAACAGACACCCAAAAGATCTAAACCATTATAAGGGAATATTTTAAAAATCTATATGCTACTAAATTTGAAAATCTAAAGGAAATGGATATCTAAAATCTTAACAACCAAAGTTAAACCAAGAAGAGATCAACAGTTTAAAAAGACCCATAACACATAAAGAAATTGAAGCAGTAATACATTGCCTTCCAACTGAAAAAAGCCTAGGCCCAGATGGATTTACAGAACAATTCTACCAGGTATTTGAAGAACACCTCCAACCAAAATGATAGAAAGAGGGAGAACTCCCAAATTCCTTCTATGAAGCACGCATCACTCTAATATTCAAACCAGGTAAAGATACAACCAAAAAAGAAAACTATATACCCATATCCTTAATGAACATAGATGCAAAAATTCTCAATAAAATACTTGCAAACCCTATACAGACACACATCAAAAAGATCATTCACCATGATCAAGTTGGCTTTATTCCAGAGTTGCAGGGGTGGTTCAATATACATAAGTCAATAAACGCCATAAATCATATAAATGGTCTCAAAGACAAGAACCACATGGTCATCTCAATAGATGCAGAGAAGGCCTTTGACAAAATTCAACATGCATTTATGTTCAAAGTCCTAGAGGGACTTGGACTGGAGGGAACATACCTCAACATAATTAGAGCCATATATAACAAAACCATAGTCAACATCATTCTAAATGGAGAAGAACTGGAACCATTCCCATTAAAATCAGGAACCAGATGAGGATGTCCACTATCTCCACTCCTTTTCAACTTAGTGCTTGAAACTCTTGCTAGAGCAATAAGACAGGAGAAGGAAATTAAAGGAGTACTAATTGGAAAAGAAGAGGCCAAACTATCACTTTTTGCAGATGATACTATACCTAAGAGATCCCAAAAGTTCTGCCAGAACTCTGATAACTGATCAAAACTTTCAGTATAGTGGCAAAATCAGTAGCCTTTCTATATACCAATAACAAGCAATTGGAGAAAGAATAGAGGGTAATGCTCCCATTCACAATTGCTGCAAAAAAAGTAATAATAACATACCCTGGAATAAATCTGACCAAAGATCTCTACAATGAAAATTTTAAATCGTTAAAGTGATTGAAGAAGACACCAGGAGGTAGAATGACCACCCATGCTCATGGACTGGAAGAATTAATATTGTGAAAATGACCATCCTACCAATAGCAATATATAGGTTCAATGCAATCCCAACCAAAATCCCCAAGACATACTTCACAGAATTAGAAAAAAATCATCCTTAAATTCATATGGAAGCACAAAAGACCCAGGATAGCCAAAGCAACCCTGAGCACAAAGAGCAACGCTGGGAGAATTACTATACCAGATCTCAAAGCATACTATAGAGCTAAGTCATAAAAACAGCATGGTACTGGCACAAAAATAGACACATGTTCAATGGAACATCACTGAAGATCCAAAACTGAGTACATGCAATTTCAGCCACCTGATATTTTACAAAGGTGCCAAGAACACACAATGGAGGAAAGACAGCATCTTCAACAAATTGTGCATTCTTCCACCTGTAGAAAAATAAAACTAGATCCTTATCTTTTGCCTTGCACAAAAGTCAACTCCAAATGGATCAAAGACCTCAATGTGAAACTGGAAACCATGAAAGTATTAGAAGGAAATATTGGTAGTAACTTACAAGATATAGGTGTAGGAAAGGATTTTCTAAATTGGACAGAAGTTGCTCAGGAATTAAGGTCAGCAATCAACAAGTGGGACCTCATTAAACTAAAATGATTCTGTACAGCAAGAGAAACAATTAAAAAAGTGAAGAGAAACCCCACAAAATGGGGAAAAAATCTTCACCAGTGACACATCTGACAGA